TTGTTGATCAGGGTGAAAAGTGGAAGTTGTACTATTTATCTCATCTATCAGTTAAATGGCATCAATATATAAAACATAAAAAAAGAAAAACAGATGCTTAATCAGGAGAGATTTCTTATATATGTTCCACCTACCAGACTGAGTAGCTTTCATGATACAACTGCTAAGAATTGGTATCTTGGAACACATGGCTGCTACCACCTGCATCAAAAACAACATGGAAACATTAGGTGGCAAAACATCCTTCTCCACTTTTTTCCATTAAATGACAAATTGCAAGTTGCTTTAACCATGAGGACATAAGTACGTAAAAATGATGAACAGAAGCTTCGTAAGAAGGATAGAAATCCTTGTTATAGAAAAGGATGATGTTAAACTATGAGCTCAGCCAGAGGTATCAAATTCAGAATTGAACTGATACAACCGTCCATCTTTTCTCTCAAGCTTGTCAACTTTAAAGCATCTTTTACAGGTATACGCAAATTCTGACTGCACAAGTTTTTAGATGAGAAACCAAGTTGAGGGATCAATAGAGCTTAGGGAAAAAAACATGACGAAGGATCACGTCAGTTCACAATATACCAATGTCATTGCAAGATTTCAATCTTGCAGAGAGAGTTGCAGACTTTCGATGCTGTCCAGAATGTTTAGATGGATGCCTTTAATCCATGAGTGTTTTCCCATGTTTTCCTTTTCAGTTACACAGCTAGAATACGAATTGGACATTTTTTGATGTTTGAAAGTTTAGACCTGGCTTTTCTTTGATAGGACAGCTAGTAAAGAGAAGAAAATAATTCATTTATTCTCTAAGGAGCATGCACTTCCAAGGCTGAACCAATGGCAGTGATGCAGCATGCACTGTTACCACGGCTAGTGCATCGCCAAGGCATGAACCTGGGGTAAGAAATATTTCTTAGCTTTGGTATCTATCCATTAGTAGTATAAAGATTACCATTCAAGCTCGTAAACCAAGGGACTTATTAATGAAAGAAGAGGCAAAACATTTTAACTAGCATAGTCAACAGATATCAAACAACACATGAAACTGTATTTCACTTTATTCATTAATTCATATGCTATATGTAACTAAATGTTCATCTACATACACGGCTTTAAAGGGCTGCACTCCAAATGAACACAACCATCAGTATGGCTCCTCAAGCAGATTACACAGAGAAATTTGCAAGACATCCGTTAGCAAAGTTGCAAACTTTTATCATATCAATACGATAGATCAACAGAAGAAACAAATTAAACAACTAAGTAGTTCCACAATGTGAGATCAGCAAGGCAAAACATAAAATAATCACACAAGACCAGAGATATCACCAATTTATAAAATGTAATTTTATCATAAATGTCTCAACTACCAGCTTTGACAATTTGTTAAGGAGCCTTACTCTACATCTTGCAAATGAAAATTTAGTGTCATCCATAAGTAAAATTTACCACTTGAAACTACTCTAAGAATCAACATTTTAATCTTTCATAAAAAAGGAAACTCACAGGAGGTGGAGTTGATTCCAGTGAAGGAGCATGCAACTTTGGAATGATAAGGGAGTGCCTACACAAGAAAAAGGACGCTGAAGAGTGAATATAAAACCAAAGAAATCCAACAATATAATTTACAAAAAAAACTAGGGTATGATCCCATTTTTATTATTTGAAACTTCTATGCCAAGATCAAGCTGTTTTCAAGTTTTATCTTCTGATGCTTGCTTATTATCATCAAGGCAACAGACAGGTGCATGGCTTATTAGACATAGCGTTTGGTAATGAATTGATGAGGTTTCAGGTGGTTGTAATACTAGAACCGGTCCATGCCACTAACATGTTGAGTTCCTAACCAGAGCCATGTAACCCAAACTTTATAATAATTGGGTCAGATAGAAAAGAGTCAGGATGGCTGATAAAGATGAAGCATTTTAACAAGATTGGTTACCCTATTACTCTCTCGGTACAATCAAGTTAGGTCTGATTAATCCTCAGTGTACCTGGAAATTGAACTTCACCTGAGCTCAATCCAACCTACCACTGAGACAGATCCTGGCTCATAAGTGATGCCTCCAACCAAGCTATATTTAAGTATCTTTGCTTGTTTCTGTCAATCATTACTACCCCCAATATAACTTGAAAAGTCAGACTTGCAGAGACTTGTTCTCTCCAGAATTGTTTTCACAATGCATTAACCTATAAAATCTAGGTGCATAAGAAACACTAATGAATGCTCTAACATGATAATAAGTTATAGCAACCAGGCTATTTTGGATTATTTTCAAGTCAGGAAATGCGATTTAAGGAGAACTCAAAACTCTAAATAGATCACCAATTGCCGTAGAAAGGCGGCTTAGTACAAGATCATGTAATTTTGAAACAAGTTAACTCTGGTTGGTTTGGTGGCTCAAGTCCAGCTTTATGCTACTTGTAGGGTGAAAAAGATTAGCATGGCATCTAAGAATGTTTTACTTTTACCTGAATCTATGTTAGCAAATCAACCTTCTTCTACTAGGACCTGACTGATACACCCAATAATTAGCAATAAATAAGTCTAATCAGGCTAGCAGTCTTAATTTAATGATTGCCACCCATCTTTAACTCCACCTACTCAGGACTGGGAAAAGAATATCTCACCGTAAGCCAATGATTTATGGATATATTCACAGAAAGGAAAAAAAAAATGCAAATAGAAGAGTTCAGAACAAACATTAGACCTTAATGTTTACAAAACCGATACAAAACTTTAGGAAAGCATAAGTTTGGAATGTCATAGCATTAAGTTTGGAAAATTATATTGCACATTTGCACTCAAGGAAAGTATAATCATAAAATTGTAGATATACATTACCCAATGCTCAATGGGCTAGAGTCCAATATACATATGCATACATCATCCTCATATAGCTGCAAACAATAAAAAGAGAGTAAGCAATCAAGATCAATAATGGAAATAATAAAAGATCCCAAGTTGCATATTTCCAGCCTATGATTAGTGTTTGGAATGGAAGAGGTATAATTCCCATCATGTGAATATATTAGATCGAGTACCACAGTTACAAAAAAAACAATTCAAAGATTAACAAAAGGCTATTAATTATATGTCAACCATTTTGCTCTTCTTCATTCGTAGCTTTTATTTCATCTTAAGGTATATTGTTGCTAATTTTCTTCCTTGAATATATGTTTGAGCAAAATTTATCAGATAGATTGTACAACAATTTGTTTTCTTAGGTGCCTGGAACAAAAATTTTTCAAGGCTCACACTACTACCACAGCACCTCTCACATTGTTCATGCAATGTTTTAACATGTTCTCTCTTCGTCCCCCAATTGCATCCTTAAGCTAAAGAAAAACCATCTGTTCCATTACGATCTAACATTCCATTCCCTAACAGTATAAGCTCCATTACCAAAACTCGTGTTTCTCCTGAATTAGCCCGTTCCTGTTCAACCTGTTTGAAGGCGACAAACACCCAACACTAACTCCTCCCCATTAACAGACCAACTAGGCCACTCTTATTAAGTTACCAACGTCCGCTGACGAATGATTATTAGTAGCTTATGTTCACTTCAGATTAGGCCAGAGTCTTATAGAGGGACTCCACTAGCCGAATGGTTCCAGTTAAATTTGAGAAGAAGAACACCAATAAACAACGTGGATGTGAGTCGGCATATGGGGAACCAAAACCCATCAAGAAACCGCGCCTCGTCTGCGGTAGATCGCATAAGAGCCTATCCTACCCTATCCCTTTCAACTAAATCCGGCGTCAAGAGAACCTGAACTGATCAAGGAAAGGGAAGGCTCTACCTTGAATGCCGGGGATTCACCGCGAATGATCCGACAAAAGACGCACCCCTTCTCCCCGCCCCGTTCCGTCTCGCCTCCGCCTCCACCTCCGCCACCGGAGCAGCGGGAAGTGGAGACACCCGGAGGCGGGCCGAGGGCCGAGAGAGGGGCAGGGCCGGTTTGGGTGAGGTGGGAGGCGAGGACGGCGAGGCGGCGTTGTGCCATCTAGGCGAGATCGGCGGCGGAGAGCGTAGTCGGGCGGACTGCTATCGCCATGGGATTGTGGTGGTCTCGCGGTAGGCAGCTATCTTCTGACTGGCCGATAGAAGTCTCAGGCGGAGAAACTAACTATAAAGACCTCCTCATTCTCTCGCAATAAGCTATATATATATATATATATATATATATATATATATATGAGCAAATTTAATTATAATATTATATATAATAAACAATCTTACACCCATTCACTATGAAATTGATATATTTCAATTTTCCTAGATTTAGCTTAGTTCATATCTTACAATTATTTTCTCAAGCATAAATTGGCACATAAGATCATGTGCGATGGATATTTTTTTTGTCATTTGCAGACATAATTTTGCACATTAGATATGACCATCGACTCAACAACCAACGGAAGGTTCTACTCAGAAAGGATCCGTTGACTTGATGACCAATGGAAGCTTCTATTTGTAAATGACCCCAAAGTCATAAGATATAAACCATCTTCATGTGTTCCTACCCTCCTTTTTTTTGGCATTCTACTTTATGGAGTTCTTAAACCATCCTTTCATACTCTTTTACTATAATGAATCCTTTTGATGCTTCCTATGCTCGATTTATGTATGCAAGCAATTTTTGAGGTGGAGGTCAACATTTTGTCTTCAAATTCTATGAAATGTACTAATTTTGGTAAATGCCTTGATTTGGTATATTGCTTATTTATATGAATTATCTAATCGCAATTTTCTGTTTAAACTCTGCTTAAAAAATTACATGAAATTATTTAATGTCAATAATAAATAAATAAATAAATAAATTTATGGTTAGGTGTTGAAGTTGGTAGCCGACCGCGTTGCAGTGTGCCTACCGAACAACTGTCCATCTCGAACTAACCCTCTCTCTTTGTTATGATGGACGGTTATGATGAAAGGTATAGGGTACTTTACGTTGGACCGTCGGGATAGAATACGGCACAAAACCCTCGACGGAGAAATCGACCTTTCCCTTTCCCACGTCGTCGATAAAAGGGGCGCCTCGGATGGATCTTGCCGCGTCGTCGTCGCCGAAGCGGGATTGTATCGGTCGGGAGGAGGAGCGGCGAAGGGGTTGGCGGACATGGCGAGCGGCGGGAGTGTCGATCTGGAGGACGTGCCGTCGCTGGATCTGATGACCGAGCTCCTCCGCCGAATGAAGTGTGCATCGAAACCCGACAAGCGGCTTATCCTCATCGGTATCGGTTCCTTCCTCCGTAACCTCTTTGTGTTAGATTGCATTCTCCCTCTGCGTGTATGCGCCTTCGCTTATCAAAGTTTACCCTCCTTTTGTGGATACGAGAAATCGGGAAGAACATGTTCAACGAATTGGTTTAAGAAAAGTCGAAGAATGTAAGTGTGAAATGATGAAATCAACCGTTAGCTTCCCGACAACAGCTAAATGGGGTTTCGAAATGCGCAATGATTACTTAGGACAAGGGATGATTTCATCCTGAGGGCTCTGAGGCACATTTCGAACGGTGTTTATGTTCATTGTCGTTATTGCTGCTTCATCTGGGATGAATATGTTGTGTGGATGTCTGCTTTGCCACTGAAACAAGGAAACTGAAATTGTTTGACTGTTATGTGGAGGAATGAATGCGGCTAGTCCTAGATGTCATGTAGACATGAGAGGCAAAATTATGACCAATGGATTGGATGGGACCAATGGCGAAATTCATGGTTGCTCGAAAAATAATGATTTACAGATTCTTATATTGTTCTCGAAAAAGTTTTGTTTTGTCGAGACATGTAAATTTTGTTTAAGACCAATATTAAACCAAAGAGTTATGAGAGATATAGGAACTCCAAAAGCTTTGATCTATTCTTTTCCTCTTCTTTTCTTAAAGTAGTGGTCCCAATCACCCACTTCGTCGAGCACATGGTCAAAGAAATGAGAGATGGAAGTGATACATCGGATAATATGATGCATCTTTTCAGAAAATATAGGATTATTGACCATGTGAATGTCAAAAGGTATTTATTTCCGGAATCAGATATTTTTTACGTAAACTGACTATCTCCATTTGCAATTTATTCTCTTTCTAGTTCTCTCGTTGGGAAGTTAATTGTAATTGAAGTTTGAAACCGAGTAAGTGAATAATAACCGCTTGCGGTGGAATGTAGTACTTATTTTTTATTCAATGGATGCCCTATGTTGTACCAAGCATTAGAGTTTATGTTGTTGCAATATCGTAAATATATTTTTATTAGAAATATAAATATAAAACTCTTGTATAGTTTTTTGATTAATTTTGCTTCAATGTTATACTGTTGGGTGTTGTTAATTTTAAAATTATATCGTATGAATCTTTGAAAGAGATGTGCATAGATATTTATGGTTGTTTGTGTCTGAGAGGTGACATGAACTATTCCATTCGGGAAATTGATATTAATCTAGTATCCTTGATCCTTTGTTTCTTAGTCAAAATTTCCAGCCTAAAATACTCAACACACAGTTAACAGTATTCCCTCCCCCTCCCCCTCCACCAACCCGCCCCCCCCACCCCAATCAGAACTAATTGTGGGGTCATGCATTTCCTATATTTTTGTTCTTGGTCATAACTTCAAGCCAAAACTAAAGAAGCTGAAACTTATATTCCAAATCCTAGGCTAAAATTTAAAAAAAATATCATATTTCATAAATACAGTTGAATGAAAAAAATTGATTCATTTATCAACAAAAAGAAAAATGCAACCTCTTCTTTTTGTTATGTGGCATATCCAAGGGCAATGGCTTGGCATTGTTTCCAATGCATTGTTTGTTTTCTTCATTTCTTCTTGTGCGTCTTACTCTATGTTTTTGGTCTGAGCTTATTTTTCTTGTTATTTGAAGTGTTAGAGAAGCCAGATGTTCTGATACAACTGCTAGTTTCTTTTTTAAAATTTCATTATGATGACTTCACTTTCAACACTTTTGCTGTGCATGATTAAAGTATATTTTTCGCAAAGTCGTATTGGACCTTACTATAGAGGATTTATCTATTGTCTTCTCTTCATCTATGTCTAAATTATCTTTTCAGATTTCCTATTTGCATATTTGGTAATAGGAACTGTTTTTTTTTTCTTTTTATGGTGCTAATATGTGGTGAAGTCACGCTTTCCACTTTCTTATGCATGGGTAGAAAGAGTGCTAAGTGTCTGTTCAACTTTCATGGGGTTTTTAACATTCCAGGTCCACCTGGTTCTGGGAAGGGTACCCAATCTCCTATTATTAAGGATGAATATTGCTTGTGTCACTTGGCCACCGGTGACATGTTAAGAGCTGCTGTGGCTGCTAAGACCCCTCTTGGGGTTAAGGCTAAAGAAGCTATGGATAAGGTATTCCTCTTAAAATAAATGAAATTTGAACCAAAAAAAGTTATTTTCATTACTGATCAATTCTTTGGCTCTTGGTATTCCAGGGGGAGCTTGTTTCTGATGACTTGGTTGTTGGAATTATTGATGAGGCTATCAAAAAACCATCATGCCAAAAGGGTTTCATTCTTGATGGGTTTCCAAGGACAGTTGTTCAAGCTGAGAAGGCAAGTTTTCTATGCTTTTTGCTCTTCACTCCAATGCTAGATTCATTGTTTGATGAGTTAAATACAAGTCCTTTGTTTTCAGAGCTTTTACCTACTTTGCCCCTTCATCACCTGATTCCAAATGCAGCTTGATGAGATGCTGACCAAGCAAGGTACTAAGATTGACAAGGTGCTAAACTTTGCGATTGATGATGCCATACTGGAGGAGAGAATTACTGGTCGTTGGATTCATCCACCTAGTGGTAGGACTTACCATACGAAATATGCTCCTCCAAAGGTTCCTGGCATCGATGATGTAAGCAGATGGAATAAGTTTATTGTTTTACTAAAGCATGTTCTGTATATGTTATGTAAAATGTTTTTGTCACAGGTCCATGTATGTTGTGTTGCTACTGTTGGACATTTCTTTTATTGCATTTGCATTTCCTACTTGCAAAAAACTAGTTGTGGGTTGGTTGGATTGGAGAATTTTGCGTTAGAGCCTTCTTGCTTATCTTCGAGCAAAAGTTGGGTTAATGCAAAATGACAGTAGGTATGTGGTTAAGGTATAATGACTTCTGCTTCTGGATTGCATAGAGCTTGAACATACATATAGAGTGTGCTGCCAGTTTGCACATAGCTTGCGGAATGTCATTATGATCTTGCCTAAACTGTGCTTCTTGAGGATCCTTATTCTGTACTGCAGTGTAGTGAAGAGATCATGGGTTCACCGGATTGACCATTCATGATTTTATTCGTATGAATGGGGTTGGTCAATCTGAGCTTCAGTCACAAATTTGGAGAATGAAGAGGGAGGTAATAGAAAAGGGAGGAAGAGGGAGGGGGTGGGCCATTTGCACCCTCCTTTTGGTGGTCTTTCCTATGCACACCTTTACATGCCTTGTAGGAATCCCATGACACCCTTTGTTAAAAGAATTATTTTGACCTTTTAGATTCTAGATTGATAATCTTTTTGCAGACAGATATTCTATTGAACATATATGTGTTAATTTGGTATGTGTAATTTTCTTATTTTTCATAATCATGTTTGTGTTTAATATTTTATGATTCTTGCAAATTAGCCTTCAAGCTGATCGTAGAAATTTTTAGCCTTGCAAGATTCTTGAAATTGCCTCAGTAGTTAATCACCTGTGTTGTACATCTAATCTCTTTGTGAGCTTTTGTGTCCTTGTGTATCCATTTCAAAGCACATTAATGCATTTGATATTTACTAGATATCATCTTTTAGTTTTGATGAGATTTGGGAGAAGAGACATGATGTGATTTACTCTTTTTCTAATTTGGTTGGTCCTAGAGAATTAGTTCTTATGTTTCTTTTGTTATTTCAAAATTATGCTCTGAAGGTGTCAGGAGAACCTTTGATTCAGAGGAAAGATGACACAGCTGAAGTCCTCAAGTCAAGGCTTGAAGCTTTCCACAGACAAACTGAACCCGTAAGTTGATTTTCCTTCTTATTATCTTCTTGATTATTTTTGCTGATAACTGTTTTATCTGTTGCACAATGGATGATACTTTTTGTAAGCAGCATATAAATTTTTACTTGGTATTTCTTGACTGAAGTCATCGGGTACTTGTATTCTTACCGCCGTCCGATATATGACTATTTGCATGTGTATGTGTAGTCAATCTGGGATTATTGGCAATAATAATTTTGATGGTTCTAATTATGACATATGATTTCATTGATTCATTTATGACATAGATAAGTACATCAAACTTCTTGGTTGTTATTTTAGTATTAATATGTGGAATTATATGTGTGCTATTGTTGTTTATTTCAGGTCATTGATTACTACAACAAAAAGGGAGTTGTGTCTCAGCTTCATGCTGAGAAACCTCCCAAAGAAGTTACTTCTGAGATTCAGAAGTCTCTTTCATGAGTGCAAACCTTTCGGTGGCTCGTTGCAACTTGATGTCACGAATAATCAGTCAGTTTTTTCCTTGTCAATCATGACGCACATCTATCAGTCACAGCTTCAAACTACCCATAACTCTTAATATTCACTGAAATGTTTGCATCAGCTTTTTTGTGCTTCATGGTGTTAGTACAAGTTTAGTCTGAAATAAGGTTTTCCCGAGTGAAGAAAAATATTTTATTGTACCATTTATTGGAAACACGGACCCTCTAGCATTGACCCCATTTTTTTGGGGATAGAGAGATTCAAGAATTTTCAAAATTGCTGCCTTGTGTGGAAGTTTGTCTGAAGAAAAATCTTCCTCTTTAACCTGCTATGTGATCGAAAATTGTTTGTGAACAGTTGTCGTAGTTATGTTAATCAATATCAAATTTATTGGATGTCTGTAGGGCTATAATCTGATTAACATTTGTGACAGGAAATTGGATGCGTTTTCTCAATCTAAATACGATCAGATGAGGTACGCATCCATAAGCCAAATAAATTTGCACTTTTATAAACAAGTCTTGCACTTCTATAGACAAGTTTTTCGATGATTGCCGTTTGTCAGTAGTCGAACTAGTCTCCTAGACAAAGATGATTGGAATTTCTTTTCGCATGCTTCGTTTGCTTTGTGTCTGTGATCTTCACAGTTGTATTGAGGCAATGAAACCCTTCTTGTAACTTTTTACATGTAGTTATGAATAGGAATCTTGACCAAGTGCTTCTTTCGCTTTGCGTCTGTGATCTTTACAGTTGTATCGATGCAATGAAACCCTTCTTATAACTTTTTACATGTAGTTCTGAATGGGGAATCTTGATTTGGTTACCGAAAACCTATTGTTCTTTATAGTTTCTTGATATCGAACTAGGAAAACTTGAAGTAGAAATGATAAGTCAAACAAAAGAGGAACACTTGAAGGGTTCATGTTGTGTCGTTTGATGCTGTGGAAACCTAGACGAGAATTGTAGGGTTGCTCTAAATGTGTATTTATTTCTCGATGTGGACTTGCTGGTGAAGGATCTTTGTAGTACTGGCAGAAGGTTCAAAGCACCAACACCAGTGTATACATACTTCCTCCCCACATGCCCTGCACATCAAGTATTTGGTTCCAACAGATCAAAAGAGAGAACCTTACCATAGGTTAGGGTGGGTAGTAACGAGATACTCTTGACATCTAGATGTTCAAATAGGAGTTCAATGTGACAGCTGATAGTTTTTGAGACAAAACCCATTGAGTTAATCGTTCCCAGAATGTCATGCCGACATAATTAGTTTAGGAAAAGGTAACCACCGAACTTGGCATCATCTGTTGCATCATCCTTTAAATCGATTAGCAGTCCACGATCAACTTGTTATCCAGCTCTGTGAACTCGTCGAAGTATGCCTTGAGATGCTCATAAGAGTGCTTGGCATCATCGACTGCACACATCTCTCTGATGCTGTGCATCGACAACTGAGGAGCGCCAACATCAACTGTTCGGATTCCGACACCGCTTGCAAGTATGGGACCGATGGATGAACCACATGGTATGTCGTTCCGAACCACAAAATCCTGGAGTCATAAGAATGGTAGAACTAAGTGGTAACATCTAAATCATGGAGTCATATAACTATGCTGAAAAAAAAAAGAGAAAAGTTTACTAGAATTTCTTCTGTATTCATGAATATCAACTGCCAGTTTGTAGTTCATCATGCCATAGCCTAATAGTTAACCAAGGTGGATCTAACATTAGCCTGAACAAGCACATCAAACATTTAAGTTTTGCATGAAATGATGAAAATGGACCCAGCCTCTTATTACTTATTAATTAGTAGGTTAATCAAAGTGGTGGTTAGAAACTTGTGGAGTAAAATTTATATTTACTTCTTGCACATTAAAATCCAACTTATCAAAAATGCCATTAAATAGATCAATTTCGCATTTGGCATCTGGCATATTCCACATACTTATATATGCAGCTATCAGGATCAGGATCGATCATTATACATGCACTAGTTTTAATTTTAAAGGCATTTGAATAAGCACAGAGATTATCTTTTGCACAAAGATTATATCTTAACTGCATTGAATAAAAAGTCTGTAAATAGCTTGGCCAAATGTACAAGTAATCACTATTAATACAAAAATATGCCAGTTTGAGAGTCAACTCACCTGAATTGGTAAGTTATGCATCTCCGCAATTTCTCGAAATATGAATGCAGTAACAGCATTTGTTGCATAACGCTGATTGGCATTGTGTTTAATTACAAGACCACCATGTAGTTTTGGTTGATGATTTTCCTCGTGCTTGTCCTGGCAGGAGAGCATGTAAAAAGAAGCCATCAGTGCCGTTTACATTTTCTACTGCTGTCGGTAACTTGACAGCATACTGACATTGTATTTATCGCAAACCATTCAGGCCTTACGGCAGGCAGCCGAGTGTACATATAAATCAGTTAAAAGGAACATACCATAAAATTAGGATGTAAAGCATGTGCCATGTCTGCCGATACGAGAAAACTCCTATGGATTGACTTCTCGAGCAACTGAAAATTTTTTGGATGAATAAAAAAAATAGTTTAATCTATCAGAAAATGCCGACAACAATTAGGTAGACTGTGGTCAAACGAATTCACGTTTAGAATTTTTAGTAATGCACAAGCAATACAACATATGTGAATATGTCTGCAAAAGCAGAAAAAGCAACAGAAAATATGAGTAGAATGTGAAAATGGTACCGTGGGATCTGAAGAATTAAAGTATTTTGTTATTCTTGATAGAGCATCCAACATGGCGGGAGATCCAGCACCCTGAGCTGAATCTGATCCGACCTCCTCGTGATCAAATAATGCCACCATCCTTACGCCAGTTTCATCACCAAGAGAACTTTCAACAGAGGTGGAGTCTATTAATGCCTGAAATCAGGGAGCAACCTTGCACAATCATACACAGAATTCTAGTTCTGTTTCCGGTATCAATCAGTTACAGACGTTGTAGGTAAAAACCCAGCAATAAATCGAAATAATCATGTGCACCTTTTGTGGTGTGAAACACTGCTGCACACAAACGATGGGTAACACCACAACTGACCTTTAGTGCACAAAATGACATGCATAGGTTGTCAAGTCTTCCAGAGAAAATGAATTCCTTCATTGCACCACCAACGACACTTGGTTGAGTATCACAAACTTGCAGCTCGAAGTCGCATATTTCATCTGGATGGCAATGAGCGTGGTCAGCGATCAGCTGTGAAAACCAACCAACCATTGTGTCAGCTTCCAACATTCAATTTTGCATGCATCAGTCCTCTTTAGGTATTTTTAACATAGGTTATGAATATACGCAGTTAGAGAAACAGGCATGTTTAGAACATTCTTTTACCTGCAGTAGTACTGGATGATGTTTTTTGTTATCAGCATTTGTTTTCTCATTCGACTCAGATGAGCTATTATGATCAACAAGCTTCTGGAGCTCACCCTGCACATATATAGTTGACAATAGTTAGCTGCCATTCTTCAATCAGAAAAGATTGAAGCAAACAGCATCTTGAACATGTTTGAGCAAATAAAATATTATTCTAGGAAGTTCTTGATCAAATACAAATCATTTTTGAGTCTTGAGATAGACTGGAACAGATAATTGAATGACCAGTAAGGTCAGCTGAGGTAATAAAACAGACATTCCGCGAGGGAGAAAGGACATGATGGTCCTAGTGTCCTGGAGGAATTTTGTGTTTGCAAGCAAAATGGCAAAGATACAGTAACCTATATTCATCAATCAAAATAATCTTTGTTCAAACGATGTTAAAATAGTGACAACAAGGAGAAAAGCCCAACAGTTACTTCAAACAAGTTTGATTAGTGTTAGAGCATATGTATAGTAGGCAAATGAAGAAAATCAAGATCAAGTTCACAAAAAGTCAAATTTAGCAAATTAAATCACCTTAATTGATGTAGCCAACACAGGTACAAGATGACTATGTGTGTTAAACTTGAAGCCTTCCGTAACGCTCCTGTTAGCAAAAATAAAAACAAGCATATCATAAGGTATTAACCTCAACAAATTCCATACCGCCGATCTAATTTTTCTTCTAAGCTGTCATTAACCCTTTAATCTAACACTTAATTAGTGAACAAATGATCAGAAAGAATTACAGAAACAAGCATGCCATCAAATAGTCAAAGTCCAAATCCGACAATGTACAAGCGAGTAACTCATGTAAAACTTCACAAGTAACCATAGTGTCCAGTTCATAGCTACTAAGAACACGTAAAATACCAATTTAATATCTGATGTTAACTGTAACACTAACCTGTCCAAGTGAATAGCTAGGGTAGGAATCCGAAGGATGGGCTCCTCGATCCTGACAAGGGTATGTGAGTAGGTTACTGAATGCTCCTTCACTTCCTTCTTTATCACTCTTCCGGCGAGGGTTAAGTCGCGATCAAACCAAGTGTGCCAAAGTCCTCCTCCATATGTCTGCACACCTACCTCAAGATATCCTCCTTTTGTTACCTAAGCAAATATGTTACACAATGATCAAGTACAATAAAAATATCAATAACCTCACTTGCATTTCCTGAAAGCTATTTCACATTAAATTAGTCACAAACCAAACTCTTTCACTTTCATCAGTGGTGCTAATCATAGACACGATTGGATAAAGAATCAACTTCTGGATCCACTCTTTTTAACTACTACATTTTTCTGATCAACCAGCCCAATAATCAAAAACAGGAAATTGATCCACAGTAAGAAGAACAACTTCAAGGATATGTATATAACCAAGATGAATGCTTACCTTGGAGACAGGCTTGACTTTGAGGCACGGGCTGTCTGTATGAGCTCCAACAATGTGGAATCCATTCCCAGCAACATATCTGTTGAACCAAAATGCATATAATATACCACCAGATAGAGCTATCAAGAGAGACTTTGCATCCAGGTAAGGAAGCCATAGAGGAAAGTATTAACCCTACTCACTTCTTTCCGATGGCGAAGGCGATGATGGTGGAGTGATTCCTCGTGAAGAAGTACTTCCCCCCGGATTCCAACACCCAGTCCTCTCTCTCCGATAGATGAGCGAAGCCAGCTTGTTTCAAGCGCTTCTTCGCCTCATCTACAAGTACAAAAATCTCCCCCCGATCAATACAAGAAAACGAATCCAGATCTTTGAAGATCAAAGCGAGAGATCGGGCGGTGAGGCTGGATTACCGACGGCGTGGAAATTAGTTGGCGAAGCGTTGAGGAAGTCGACGAGGTCGAGGGCGATCGGATCCACAGTCGCCATGTCTTCCGCTGCCTTTGGGTTGAACCTCCACGCAAGGAATCGTAGCGGCTTTATAGTCCGAAATGTTAGCCGTTAGGAATTCCCCTGGAATCGTATCGGCAAATATACCGGTTTTAACTGTTACGATCTCATCTGATAACGGATACAAAGCACGGTATTAATTAGTATTTAAGTAAATCTCAAATCACATTTTTAATGGTCCGGTTTGACGATCGAACCGATTCTGAATCTTGACCGGCTTATTTTTATCCTTTCCTCCTTGATCTGATACTTCGACGACAAATCTGGCGCATACTTCGACGACAAATCTGTCGCCTCCTTCCCGAGAACAATGGCATTTCAAGAACTGCACGTGCCATCCGATCGACACTCGCTTCTTGTCTGCGGTTGTCTCGCTCGTCGTTCAGGTACTTTTCCTTCCAATTCTTTTCTTGTTTCGATGTCGTCATTGTCCTCCTTTTCTTTGGGTCGTATGGTGGGCAGATCGAGGATTAGGTTTTTTCTGATTCGTCCCCGGCGAATCTGGTAGGGGAATTGCTTAAGACAAAGTGCATAAACTAATCTGGTTAAATTTCTAATTTCGATTCGATTGTGCTGCTGTAATTCATTTTCGATTTTCCTCTATATATTCATCTTGTGTTCTTGTTAGCATATTGTGGGATCAATTTAGATTGTATTGCTGTCAGAGATCTGTTTTTTGTTCAAAGGTTAGGGTTTTCTAGGATCGTAGTTCCGTTGGGTTGAATCTTTGGTCACCCTTTCTTCGACAGGGTTAATTCTATCGCAAGATTGGTTCCAATCTTCCATTTTTGACGCCTTAGCTGGAGTGATATGCCTTGTGGACATGGGTAGAACCCTAAGGTGTAAAGAAGTTGTATTGATTCTCTTCCTGCAATCCGTGTTTACTTACATTCAATACTCGACCTAATAGGACCAGCTTTGCAGAGGAAAAAGTGTCATATCTTACTGAGTCTTTTTCAGTGAAGGACGAACTAGCTGTGAGAGAAAAAGGTCCTTCACTTTTCCCTCAGCCTCGGTCACCAGCCTGATTGAGATCTTCAATCCCCGGCTAATGGATTCTTCTCTTCACCAAAGGAAAAACTCGAGTGCTTCCTTCCCCTATTATGGTGTTAAGTGAATTCTTGATTTTGTTATCTTTTTGCACCTTGCTGAATATCCTTGATGTATCAGTGATATTAAATCTTTAGCAAATCATCCTAGTCATTGAAACTTCCATGGAGCTTTCTTGTTTGCTTGATTGTGCTTGATAGTTGACCGGTAATATTCTTTGGTGATGATCATAAATTTCTCTTATGACCAACATCCTTTACCTTTAAATCTTCTGTTAATCATAAGCGTGAACTTCTTTATTGAGGAATTATTTGGTTTTGAACCATTTGTTTTGTTGATAGTGCATATTTGGTGGTCTTATTTACAGCTATACTTGTGTGTGGAACTAGATTGACTGTTTTATTGATGGTGGATTTGGGTCGATTTTAGGTGGCAGTGTAGTCAAAAGTGCTAGACGTTAAAAGACGGTTTTGAAAAGCCCGAATTGCTAGATGCTTTGCTATTTTAAAATGCTCGAGACGTAATGTGCTTGGAAGATCAACTATTGACTATAGGTCAACTATTTAAAATGAAACAAAGGAGAGGTATATCATGATGTCTTTGGCAGCGGAGAGTGACTGAGAGGACTGTGGATTTCCGATGATGAAGAGCTGAGAGACTAAGAGAGCAGTGGATTTCCAATGATGAAGAGTTGAGAGATGGGAGTACCGACGATGAAGAAGAAACGATGGCCGTCAGGTTAGGGCTTGATCGTGCACTGAACTTATCAGTCGGGATATATACGTGTTGCTGTTTTCGTCTTAATTTTTTGATAGTAGTGTGTCAGAGAACATTTGCTTCATGAGATATGTTGTTTGGTTGATGGATAGTTAAAGCTCTTTATTCAAGTGTTTCTACAGGATACTTCTACGTTTGAGTTTGCTGACTATATTTTTTTTGTAGATTGAAGGATTGCCTATTGCTTCACTCAAACATGTTCTCGGTGTCTAAAAGTAGGAAACTTTAGATGCCTGCTTGAGATATCATAGAAATGTCTGATGTGAGAAATCTGTGATGATGGATGTCATTAGACAAATAGCTCCGGAACAAGCTGCAGGTACTCGAGTATCTTTATTTGGTCATCCTCTCCCTAATATACTGGTAGTAGATTGATGAGTGCAGGGTAGGTTCTTGGATTATACTTTTCCTCGGCCAAGAGAAAGCAGGATTTCTTCCTCTGTTTTCTTAGCAAGACAACTTGACCTGAAAACTCGCACAACCTACGAAGAGCGGTTTGTCAAACTCTGTGAAGTTCGACTTTAGTTTCTTCATAAATATTCTGATGAATTAACTTCAAGAAAGCTTTTCTTTTTTCCTTCTCTGTCCGATGTTTACTGTTCATCGTTTCTTATCTGCAGGATGGAACGTCTCACTGAAGCTTCGATGAAGAATTCAGCTACTGCAGTGGCGAGCAGGTTTCAGGTAAACTGCTTTCAGAATTTTCATAGAAGTTACATTACTTTTTTGCTTTCAAAAATACTTTTGGGAAAAATATACCAACTCAAAGCGACACCCAAAGTTTCTAAAAGCTGTAGAATCACACTTCATTTGGAGAAAAAAATATACACGATAAAATGAAAGCAGAATTAAATCTCCGTGAAGTTCATAATATCCAGGACAGTGAGTGCTTACTGATTCAGATTATTTTTTTCTTTTTTTTTGTTTATTGAAATTAGTTTGGATTAGTTTCCAATTGATCAGTATGATGATCTCGTGTTGTCTGATCCGACGAACAAATTCTTTTTTTTCTTCTTTTGTTGTAGGCTTAATAATTGGTGACCGTCAATTTTGCACCTCTTCAACAGTTGTTGCGGGCCCCACTTGAAAAGCCAGTGAGGCCGGACAAGCGGAGTTTGGAGTCGCAGACTATGGGGCTATGTTCGCCATTTCATCGTTTATTCTTATCCCCTTCGTCCCCCACTGCCAGCCTCCTTATACATGCACGCCGCCACCACCGCTTACCACTGGCATGGGATCATGGAGGAGGAAGAGCAGCAGCACGGCGAGACGCTTGTCTCGCCGACGGGGTTCCGGCGGTGGCTTGAGGCCGGGAACGATGACACGCCGCCGACCGATGCCCGGATCGTGACGTCCGGCCAACGGCGACTCCCGGCTCATTCCACCGTTCTGGTGATAAACGAAACACCACCACCTATACATGCACTTGTCTATGATCTTCTATTCATTGCTCGCTTTCTTTCTTCGGGCGCAGGCTTCGGCATCTCCCGTGCTGGAGAGCATGCTGCACCGACCACGCAAAGGTGGCAGTAACCGAGAAATGGAGATCCCCGTTCTTGGCGTTCCCTGCGATGCTGTTCATGCTTTCCTCCGTTTGCTCTACTCCGCCAGGTCTCGTATCTTCTTTTCGTCCAATCTTCACACAATTTGTAGTACACCGATCTCCCTTGCGTCTCTCCAATGCTCTTCTTAATGTCTAGGACACTGTATACACAGCACAGGAGTTGTGTAGGTGACATCACTAAGAGCTTATTCGCGGACAAGCTTTTTTTGTTTTTTGATGCGTTCTCCTGATGTCTTACACTTTTTATTCGAGAAAATGCTCTCGAATTGCAGCTAACACTTATGCATGACGGACGTCTCATGCAAGCGATCTCTCCTCCGAACACGTGTGACGTGTCTCATCGAGCTGTTTTTTTAATAGATTGGACATATAATTATCTTTAAATTATTTTAAGGAGTAATTTTGATGGACGGTTGTGATTCACGGCAGGTGCGTGACGCTTGCGGAGGAGGAGATCGTCGGGGAGCACGGGATGCACCTGATGGTGCTGTCGCACGCGTACGGGGTCGGGTGGCTGAAGCGCGCGTGCGAGCGGGTGCTGTCGTCGCGGCTGACCGCCGAGGGCGTGGTGGACGTGCTGGTGCTGGCGCAGCAGTGCGACGCCCCCCGCCTTCACCTGCGGTGCATGCAGCTGCTTGCCGAGGACTTTGCGGCGGTGGAGCAGACCGAGGCCTGGCGGTTCCTCCGGGACCACGACCCCTGGCTGGAGCTCGACATCCTCCAGTTCCTCGAGGACGCCCACCTGGTGCGTACGTCGCATGTCGCTTGCCGGGCATGATGCGGTAGCTGAGAGAGAGCGAGAGAGAGAGGGAGAGATTGATGGGTTTGTTGCCGGCTTCGGTGGTGTGACTGCAGAGACGGCGACGGCTGGGGAGGAGGAAGGCGGAGCGGAGGCTGTACATGGAGCTGCACGAGACCATCGAGTGCTTGCACCACATCTTCAAGGATGGATACGCGGCGATGGGGCACTCCGGCAGGGAGGAGAAGCGGGCCCGCTGCCCCAACCCCGTCACCTGCCGCGGCCTACGGCAGCTTGTCCGCCACTTGGCGGCCTGCGACAGCGAGAAGAGGCGCTGGTGCCGTCGGTGCAAGTGTCTCTGGCAGCTCCTCCGCCTCCACGCTTCCACCTGCACCGAGCTCGATGACGCCTCCTGCGAAGTTCCCCTCTGCATGTACTTGTGCAACTGGTGCCGCTGAGAAATTAATGGAAGAACATAACCCAGCTCACTCGTCTTTGTTTCTTGGTGAATCCACAGGCAATTCAAGCGGAGGGTGCAGCGTAGGGAAGGCGAAGAAGCGGATGGCGATGACAAGTGGGGGATGCTGGTGAAGAAGGTGGTCTCAGCTAGAGTTGTGTCCCACTTGGTGAAGAAGCACAAACAACCGGTACTGTATCCAGGGGATTCAAACTAGAACAGCAGCTTTAGCCGAGTAGTTCGCTTGGTTGCTCCTCCAACTCTTATGTTGCTTTGTTCTTCGGTTCACCATCCTTGTCTTGTGTAAATTTATCCAGGTATATATATATATATATATATATATATATATATATATATATATATATATATATATATATATACTATTTTTTTGCATCGCACGGAGATTTGTCACGTGGGCTTCAATGACTGTAGACGAAGTCAATTATATATGAAAAAAAAAAATATTTTTTGACTAATTTTTACAAAAAAAATCTAACCATGAGTAGTTTTTAGAGTTTGAATCGTAAGAGACAGGAGGGGATTCGAGATGGGTATAAGTGATATTGGAATCGATATATTATATCCTAAATCGTCTTCAAATCTCGATCAAAATTAGTCAAAATTAATTTGATCGAATGGAATTGGGCTGCTGCGTCGTATCTCGCTGGCTGCAATTATGACGTGCATCGGAATCATATCCGCCGGCACTTGAATTCCTCGTCTCTGTGGTCGGTGACCAGTAGTGCTTCCTCTTGATATCCTCTCTGTCGTGAAGTGAGGTTCCTTGTCCCCGTCCTCCCTCTTCAAAGGTCGGGATCGATTGAGCAGCTCAAGGCACTCTTGACGGTACGCTCTCTTGTTCTTGATCGCATGTCTCTTCAGACATCACATGTTCTAATCCAAATCTGATATACAGTAAGCTTGCCCAGTGTCCGTCTCTTGTTCTTCCTATGGCAACAATGAATGCCCAGCAAGTGTTCGACAAAATTCCCCAGCTAAAACAACTCGTGTTGGGCTGGGGGTGTGCAGCAGAAAAGTGCGTGAGGTGCACTTACGGCGATGAACTTATCGACGGAAAGGAAGACAAGGATAAGAGAACAAAACGGAGTCACGGAGGACCTACTGTGGCCGACCGTGTTTTGCTCTACGCGTTTCACGTTGGTCCGCCGCTTTCTTTTACCCCGAGAAAACTCGATTAGTTCGATGTCCTTGGATTCATGAACTCATCTCAGAAGACTGCACAGATCGCGATGGATGTAATTATCTCAAGAGATCTGCAATGAAGACTGTCACGAATTGCAAGCAGTGTTCGCAGTGAAGAATTGAAGTCATCCACATCCATGGCGACGCGTTGCAAGCCTTCATGTATGCAGGAAATAACGTCATATTAGCTTCATTCCCACCATGATTACAGTCACAGCTACTCTTAGGTCATTCCTATATAAACTAAGAAAGACAGCTAATTATACATTATTTTTATAATTGTCTATCTTCTACATCTCGATTTTTATATTTTTAATAATTATATTAAAATTTTATATTTATAAAAATAAAATATTTTATTTTGTTTTTTCTTATATGTCAATTTTATCGATGAAAGTACCATGCGTATTATCACATATGATAAATGATATTAAAATAAGATTAAAAAATAATATTATAAAACTATTTTTATCGTCTAAAGAAAAAAATAAAAGAGATTTTGTTGGGAAAAAAAATTATATAGCTATGCTATTCAATTGCTCCACTTTCTCGGAGGTTTTGTTGAAAAGTGAAACATTCATTTCTCATGTGATCTAGTCTCATCCTACTATCGTAGAATTATTAATTTCTTGATTGTTACTTTCATAGAACTTATGGATGAAAAAATTAATATCGATAAAAATAGTATTATGAAATTATCCTTGTATTTTTGTTTGTATCATTTTATAATAACATATATAATATTTTCATCATTAGAATCGACGGTATTAGAAGAAATAAGATTAAATATTTTTTTATAAATATAAAAATTATAATATAATTTTTAAAAGTATTAGGATCAAAATATTAAAAATAATCGGTTAAGGGAGTAATCTGTAATTCATCAGATTACCCCCAGAGGTGTGAGGGTGAGGGATAAAATTAACTTTTTGCTCATCAAGCTCAGGTCACTTTTGGGTCCACTAGGTCGTCACAAGTCCAATATATATATGTGTTATTCAATTACTCCACTTTCTCTTTATATCGATTGTATTGAAAAGTAAAAATATTCATCTCTTTCTTGTGATCTTGCATAATTATTAATTTCTTGATTGTTACTTTCATAAAACTTATTGATGAAAAAATTAATATTGATGAAAATAGTATTATGAGATTATCCTTTTATCTTTGTTTGTATCATTTTATAGTAATGTATATAATATATTTTCGTCAATAAAATCTTCGGTACGAGGAGAAATAAGATTAAATATATTTTTTTTTATAAATATAAAAATTATAATATAATTTTTAAAAGTATTAGGATCGAAATGTTAAAAATAATCGACTAAGGGGGTAATATGTAATTAATCAGATTATCCTCCAAGGGTGTGGGGGTGAGGGATAAAGTTAACTTTTTGCTCATCAAGCTCAAGTCACTTTTAGGTCCACTAGGTCGTCACAAGTCCAATATATATCAGTGTTATTCAATTGCTCCACTTTCTCTTTATATCTTTGAAGGTTTTATTGAAAAGTAAAATATTCATCTCTTTCTTGTGATCCTGTCTCATCCTCATCCGTCGACTACTGCATAATTATTAATTTCTTGATTATTTATTTCATAGAAGTTATAGATGAAAAAATTAAATATCGATAAAAATAGTATTATGAAATTATCCTTTTATCTTTGTTTGTATCATTTTCTAGTAACGTATATAATATATTTTCGTCAATAAAATCAACGATACGAGAAATAAGATTAAATATTTTATTTTTATAAATATAAAAATTATAATATAATTTTTAAAAGTATTAGGATCGAAATGTTAAAAATAATCGGCTAAGGGGGTAATCTGTAATTAACCAGATTACCCTCGGTTGGGTGGGGGTGGGTGGGTTGTGGAGGTGGGTGGGGGTGTGGAGGGACTAAAGGTCGCCTTTTGCTCGTCAAGAACGCATACAGATCATGGCGCTGCTAGGCCTTCCGCTGAGCTCCTGCTACCACGCCACCATCGCTGAATCCGTCAGGTTAAGAAGTACAGCTCCTGCAGTAGCTAAGCAACATCTACCTCGCCAAAGCAGGAAGAGGCCACCGCGTGCTGCTGTGGATGGCACTGCTCTGGGGGAGAAGCTGGAGACGATCCCCACCGCTGTTCCGGCCAAGGTTTCACTGGGAAGGAGCAGCTTCCCTCGGGGCTTCGTCTTCGGCGCTGCCTCTGCTGCCTACCAGGTTTGTTCGTTCGTCTCCCATTCCTTTCCTCTTCGTCTCTTCTCTCTCGTTTACAGCCCTGATGAGTTGATGGTGTAGGTGGAAGGAGCATGGAACGAAGGAGGGAGAGGACCGAGCATTTGGGACACCTTCACGCATAACCAACCTGGTATCCCACCTCTACTCCTCAGTGTCTCACCTTTTCACGTAGATCTCCTAAAGAAGCCAAAGAAACCAACTAAGATGGACTTGGTTTGTACGCATCCACGTACGGTTCAAGTTCTACCACGCACAAACGTTGGCCTAGCAAACTCCAGAACGGCAAACTTGGTCGAAAAGCTTTATATTAGGATTTAAGATCTGTACGTTAGATACTTGCAACCTTATTGTCGTGTCAACATCGATCCCAAGGGGTCTTAAAACTAGTTTTCCCAGCAAAGTAGTTTAAATTTAATCGCTTTAGATCATGGGATTAGATACTACATTGAATAAAAAGAGAGAAAACAAGATACTAGTTTTGCCAGCTAAAATAGTCTGTAAATGTGAGAGGACCAATTGACACTAATCATATTCCTCTGATGCTACTGGATCTTTAAACCTTCGCCATATGATAACTACACTTTGTTTGTCCTTTCTTGGTTAAAAATATATTATTTCTTTTGCATTTATTGGTAAAGTCACAGTTAGTTAGTCTCGTATTAGTTGGTTACTTGAAAAGTAATTTTCTAGTAAAAAGATAAAATAGTGATGAGATCTCAAAAATATTATTTCCTTTGCATATATCAGTAAAGTCGTAGTTAGTCTCATATTAGTTGGTTACTTGAAAAGTAATTTTCTAGTAAAAAGATAAAATAGTCTAAAAAATATTATTTCCTTTGCATATATTGGTAAAGTCATAATTAGTCTCATATTAGTTGGTTAGTTGAAAAGTAATTTTCTAGTAAAAAGATAAAATAATCTAAAAAATATTATTTCCTTTGCATATATTGGTAAAGTCATAATTAGTCTCATATTAGTTTAAAAAATAATTTCTAGTAAAAAGATAAAATAGTGATGAGGTCTCCAAAAGGCCAACTAGATATGAGATTGGGTAGTTGAAAAGTAAAATGATAAATAATGAAGACAAGATTCCATATATCGATAGTGATCTATCGATAGTCAAACTTATCTGACATCTTTAAATTCGATAGCTCTGATTGATAAAAGAAGTCAAAATGTAATTTTCAAAAACCAACCGAGATGATATAACAATTACTAGACACTCCAAGATATCATTTCCACTCATACGTAAATATTAGCATCTTGAAGATTGATTGTGCAGACCGATAGGGTTTGATAGAGATTGAACCTTGTCGGTAACACTTTGTGTCTTCCAGGGAAGATCCAAGACGGGAGCAATGGAGACAAGGCAACTGATTCATACAACAAGTACAAGGTAAGTTATTCCTGAAGCCAAGAAGGCCAAGCTCTCTTCATGGCACTCTTCACTTTGCACACAAACAGTAACAACAACATACTGCAGGAAGATGTGAAACTGACGAAAGAAATGGGCTTGGACTCCTACAGGTTCTCCATTTCCTGGTCAAGGATATTGCCAAGTAATCTTTTCTCCATCTGCTCTACTATCCTTCATGAAATCCATACACAAGAATAGGTTATTTTGCCAAGTAAATTTGCATATCTTGATCGAGATTATAAAACTTGTTTTGCAGAGGGCACATTGTTAGGTGGTGTCAACCCGGAAGGAATCAACTATTACAATAATCTAATCAATGAGTTACTTAAAAATGGTACGAGTCTCCGATGACCATTCGATAACTAACTTTAGTAGTTTTTTAGATCACGTTTTTATCATATGATTGTTGTGTAGGCATAAGACCCTTTGTCACTTTGTTTCACTGGGACGTGCCACAAGCATTAGAGGATGCATACGGAGGTTTCCGGGATCATGAGATTGTGTAAGCATAATCTCTTAGTTATTGTCTAATAGATTTGAAGGAATTTGCAAGCATATGTTAATGATGGTTCTCTCAGAATACATGAAAGACATAATTATCTTACCCCAAAAAAAGGATATCCTTCATGTTCCATCTTCTTCTTGTTATCGTCATACAGGAATGATTTCAAGGATTTTGCAAGCATATGCTTTGAAGAATTCGGAGACAGAGTCAAGCACTGGATCACACTGAACGAGCCATGGAGCTTTAGCAGCATGGGGTATACTTTTGGCCGTCATGCACCTGGGAGATGCTCCAGTTGGTTTGGGTGCACCGTAGGTGATTCCTCCACAGAACCCTACACTGTCACTCACAATCAAATTCTGGCTCATGCAGAAGTTGTCAAACTATACAAGGAGAAGTTTCAGGTAATCTAAAACAAAAATCTCTCTTATTTTACTAGTCATATATAACTTCTTTGACATCATAAATTCTCACATCATATTAACACCAAGTCTAAAGAGAGGTAAGAAACTATATAACATTAGGGTCAACCAAGTAAGCAACAAGATAATAAGGTAAAGACTACAAACCATAAGACAATATATTTATGGGAAAATAATAATCAGAATCAAGGAGATTACAAATGGTTCTCTCTGGTTCGACCAGAAGATATCAAACTTCGTGAAGTTAGGATGTGAAAGAGATGAGAACTAATCATGAATTCTCCATTGCAGGCGACACAAAAGGGTGAAATAGGCATTACCTTGAACAGCATGTGGTATGAACCCTATTCCAAGTCGCATCATGACAAGGAGGCAGCCAATAGAGCCATAGAATTCATGTTTGGATGGTTGGTGAAAACCTATTTTGTCTTTCACTATGAACATAATGTATGTGTGTGTGTATATATATATATATGTATACACTAAATGCATAGATGATTTGTGTTCAGGTACATGGATCCGTTGGTTTATGGTGACTACCCATTCATCATGAGAGCATTAGTCAGGGAGAGACTTCCACACTTCACACACACACAGTCCGAAATGATCAAAGGGTCTTATGATTTCATTGGGATCAATTACTATACTTCAAGATATGCACAACATGATCCGATCGTTCAAGATCACTCTCCTGGTAGTAGCTATGAAGATCAATACGTCCGACAATTTGGTATGCCAATAAAATTTCATCATGTTTTTTCTAATATGTATATATCGTCTAAATAATTTCTTCTTGTTTCTTCTTCTTCTTCATTAGGGTTTACTTTTCTTCATATAACTCGGTAAATCATTTGCATTTTTTGAAGATTGAGAGATGTATCGGACAAAACGAACACGTGCATTAGCCATGTATACTAATGACTCATATGGTTCAACTGACCAAAATATTCTTTAATCAGTCAATTTTTAGCATAGTCTTCTTCAAATGTAGATGCTTAGGGTCTTATATTTGCTTGCAATGTACTTGTTGACTCCTCCCAACATCATGAATTATTTTGCTTCTTGCAGATTCAAAGAATGGCATCCCTATCGGTCCACTGGTACACATCCTGCTCTCTCACTGACATGTCTCACTAACATGTCTCATCATGATAGCCTGCAACCAGTTCATTCTGACACTTTGTGATCAACTTGGTGATCCAATGAATACATTGGTCTCCTATGATTATCACAAGAGCAAAGCATATATTTCTTTTCTCGTCTTTTCCTTTTTAGATTACTTAAATTTAAAATCTCCTTTATTTCTTTGTTGTTCATATCATGGTTTTAAGTCTTGATCTCGGATCCATAACGATCCTTGGTCGGACTAGTATGGGTCAACCGAGCCAGAGAGAAAGAAGAGGAGGGGAGGATAAAAAGAGAGAAGGTTGAGAAGTGGGGAGATATCAGAAACTTCCAAAAAAGAAACAAAACATCTTGAATTGTGCTGAGCAAAATCAACTGATCCGAATGTTGATATCTTATCAGATGGATAAATACTGGTCGATAAAGAGTAAAATTTGTACTACTTACTTTTCTTGGCTCATGCTTAAAATATGAGAAAGCTGAAGGAATTATACTCACCTACATGTTTATAGTCCTTGCATTTTATTTGTTACTGATTTCAATGCAGAATGGTTCTTGGGTAAACGTTTATCCTCCTGGAATGAAGGAACTTCTACTGTACACAAAGAAGAGATACAACAACCCAAAGATCTACATCACTGAGAATGGTAAGTGTCGATTGAGATATGTTGAACTTAAGCTTGAAACCAAGTAATAATCAGAGAATGAAGCTGTGCAGATAGTTGCCAGTAGATGAGACCGATTCTGATGATACTAATAATTTGAATGTGGATGCATTTTTTAGGAACTGCTGAAATAGACAAGGATTTGCCATTGGAGCAAGCTCGTGAGGATCCACATCGACAAGACTACCTCTCGGTCCATTTTGCTCAAGTACAGGAGGCCATTCGGTATGTCGATACCATTGAAATAAAAAATGTACTGAAGATTAGTCCCACATTAATAGGAAATAAAAAAGAACCGGAATTGACTATTTAATAACTTGGTTCTTAGGCTGACCAAGTTGACATATGTTTTGCATTTATGTCATCATATAAATACAAATATACTGATTTTAGTGATTTATTGGACCGGTACTGATGACTCATATTGGTAGCACTATCATGGTTTATGCACATGCACAAGTGGGTTAAACTGGTTTGGATTTAGATGCCTGGGCCGATTTGATTCTTACAATATAAATATCCCATGGTGGAATTCGTTGCACAATATATCTAAATTTAGCTCATGTTTAAATTGCAAATAAATCATGCATGCAGAACACTAAACCGAGTTAGATAAACTCTAACCTTTTCAAACTTGGATCATTGCAGAGAGGGAGTTCGGGTGAAGGGCCACTTCACATGGTCTCTGACTGATAACTTCGAGTGGGACAAAGGCTACACTGAGCGGTTCGGGCTGGCATACATCGACTACGACAATGGCTTCGATCGCCATCTCAAAACATCAACCAAATGGTTCAGCAGGTTCCTGACAACATGAACTGTTGGTTTGGTGGTGGTTCATGAGTAGCTTATGTTTTGCCAAGAAACTATCTTGGTTTACCCGCATGCTGGATCAAATAAAAAGTCTGTGTTAGTGATATGAAGCAATATTTGATGGTGGTTCATGAGTAGCTTATGTTTTGCCAAGAAACTATCTTGGTGTACCTGCATGCTGGATCAAATAAAAGGTCTGTGTTAGTGATATGAAGCAATATTTGATGGTGGTTCATGAGTAGCTTATGTTTTGCCAAGAAACTATCTTGGTGTACCAGCATGCTGGATCAAATAAAAGGTCTGTTTTAGTGATATGAAGCAATATTTGATGCATATAAGTAAACAACAACGACAGAAGATGAAAGCATTCTAGGTGGGTGTATAAAAAAGGAGTTAAAACATCCTGATAAAGCTAATACCATTGAAAAGAGTGCTTTGATCAAGTGGATGTGAGAATTTCATGTTCTTGTGAAAGGATATCAACTTTTGACTGATAGGCATAAGGCAGAAAAGGGAAATGGAAAACCATTATATGTACATTTAAAAAACACTGTTCATAGAATAACTACCATTATGGAACAAACATTATAGAATAACTACCATTCTTTGATTGATCAATGAAAAGCTACTAAAGCCATACATCCAAATGTTACATATCATGTCCATCAGATGCCAAGTCTATCAAGGTACCCAGGCTGAAACCAACTCTCATATTCCCAGCCCTTTCTAATTGGTGCTTGGTTGGTCTATCCAGTTATTTTAAAACCTTGCTTTTATATCAACTCTAGATTTTCTTGTATGTGGATAGTTTGTGATCAATCATATTGCTTGTATCAACATCTGAACTGAACTGAACTAAATGCTTCAATATGGACCACTATTTTTTGAGGAAACTCAGAACAGCACTTAAAAAAATGGTAGAAGTATGTAAAATTAACTGAATATATTGAATTAATAGGATACAAGTCTTTCCACAAGATGCTATCATGGGAAATTCTGGATGCCTCGCTATTGATCTGATGCTTCCAGAGCACTTACCAATAAAGCATCCCAGCAATTTTCCTGAAATTAAGAATCTACTCAGTCAGTACGGGATATAAATGAGAAACCATAACAAAAGTCAGATATTTCAAAACCATAAGCATCAGAGTAATGCTTGCTACTAAATTTCAATAAAACTAAAATGACTGGTACTCTCGAATAATTTAACGACACTATGAATATGATTTACCTAAAGCACAGTTAATTTTTTAAGTCTTCAGAATTTTTTTTCAGCAATAAGCAAGTCCTAACCTCAAGCTCACATTGAAATTAATCCACTCAATTCATTAATATTAAGAAACAAGCTAATATCATAAGAAGTTAGCAGAATTCCCTTGCTTGTGCAACACATTGCACATGCTTAAAAATCATATCTGAACCTTAGATGCCATAACAGGTGTTCAAACTGTATAGTTCTGGTTCTATGTTCTTAATGCATGATGAATCTCAAAATTTTCTTGAACTTCATAAAAGCCCTCACTATCAGATAATTGCTTACGTTACAGTCATAAAATATTGTTCGATATCAACAAGGCAGACGCCTAAACCGGTACGAATGGGCCGTACATATCGCTCTGAGTGTACATCAGGACACAGACTGCCCCAAGTTTCAGGTGGTCCAGTCTGACCAATAAAAAAAGGAAAAAATAATTGAACAGATTTAGGGCTCAAGTTCGCAAGCCCTGTTCCCCCTCCCTTCTCGACATGTAACCGTGAGCCATTGCTCTTGCCAACCACGAGAAATAAATGAACCCAGCTTAATAGAATTAGCAAACTTTCTTATATCATGAAATTTCATAATCATAAATTATGACCGTCAGAAACAACAAAGAAAAGAGAATGAACAAATCAGCTGACTGTAATTAACAGCATAGCTACACAGCGAACATGTAGAACTATGACTTTACCTGTCCTCATATTAAATGAAGCAAGGTCCCCAGAAGCCAGAACCATTTCCTACGTCGACTGTATAGCCATCTGGATCATCACAAACTGACTTAATTGGTGTCTCTCGAAAGTCAACTGAAATTACAGGTCTCCTTTGTGCTGAAGTATCATAAAGACGATCCTGTCACAAAATATAAATTTTAACAAATAAGAGTAATGTCAAACTAATTATCAGAGAGAATTAAGTGCACAAGCAATTAATTACATGGCTTTCTTGAGTTCTGGAGCAAAGAGAGGTAAGAGGTATTAACCATATACAAAAGATAGAACATATGGTGACAAAATATTCAACACTAACCAATAAAAAGAGGAAAAACCAATAAGCATATGCAAACTTTCCAGTAACTGTAAGTTGGTTAACGAGCAAAATATGCATGCAGTGTTGATAATAAAAATTGGCCAGTCATCCTTAGTATATAATCGAACTTAAGGCTTTCAAAATTTTTCTCAATCTCATACAATAATTGAAAAAATGTTAAGAGACCTGTAAAAATGATTGACTCCACATATCTGCTTTTTTTTTTTTGCTTGTAAGCTACAACTTGGAAAAAGATCCTCTAATGCCATACCTGATAATTGTTCGTCCCAGCCACAATTTTTCGATGCCTTCACTCAGAAAAGTTGCAGTAGTAAACCAAGTTGGATAGAATATACCAAGGCTGTTGGAGGGAGGCTTCACAGGAACCAAGAGAAAAATGATAGAACCTTATTAATAAAAAAAAGATAGACCAGAAATACTTCTTAAGTTGCATAAAAAAGAATGTAATGACTCACAGGCTTTGCAGTCCAGATCTTGCTACAGTTTTCAAGATCCCACAAGTTCAATTCAACACCCTTCCTGAGAGAAAAGAAAACAAAATTGAACTACTAGAACAGTTTGGCCATATGCCACCCTTGCAAGCATTTATTGAAGGGTTGTCATCCATAAATATAACCAACAAAAAGACAAACCAAATTTTTGCTAACAGCTCAAGAAAGCTTACCCTCCAAATAAGGCATAATTCTTGCGTCTATCTACTGAAGTACATAGTATTTTACCAGCAGAGCACATGTTCCATGTAGTACGTGAAAACATACTCAAATTTTGTGCTGCATCTCCGAAGGAAATAAACCTCAAGCAAGCATTCCCCTTTTCAAGACAAGTAATGCAACCGACCTGGAAAACATAAAGAATTGAATAAATATAAATATGCATGCAATTTGAGATCGCAACCAAAATCTAGAAGTAGCACTACCTCCACTGAACTGAATTTTACTCAATAGATGCATGCATATGCAAAACAATTGTGACTATGCACCAGCTAAATTCCGCTCTTTTCTAGTTCTCATACAACTTCCATTGTCCAAAAATAAACTGCGCACCAGCATTGTTCTTGGATCTCAAAAATAAACCATTCGGTTAAAGTTGCAGCAGTCTATATACTGGAGCATTGGGATGAATAAGACAAAAGTTCTTAAGGCAAGAATGATCTACCATCTGAACACTTTTAGTCATTGTCCTGCAGATCATATGACTAGAAAACAGTATTTGACACGAGCATCACATGTTTGACCCTCTAAATGGAAATTGGGCAGGTGCTAAGGCTATTAATTCAACAATTTTTAATACTGACATGAAAAGAATTTTTTTTTTTTATCTAAGAATACTTGACGATCATTTAAGATTCAAAATTCTCTCTCTTTTTTGGTTTGCATAGCTACCTCATTTTAATTCTTTGATGACAATGTTCTTCAAATTACCTTTTGTTGTGAAATACAACAAAAGTACAAGAGAAAAAGCTGAGTTAATTTCTTTATTATGTACAATCAGGCCTTTATTTCTTATCTCGTGCATAAACAAGTTTGTACAGAATTTATCTTAGCAAGAGGTACCGCAGATTGGTGAAATGACAGGGTGCAAGTTCATAGAAAGTATTACATTTGCTACAAGCTACAAACTGTGACATTTATTTTATATTTACATTGAAGAAACATCAATTCCTTGGTTTTCAAGAGGTGCAAACCAACAACTGAACAACATGATCATCTTGAAGAGAGCTATCTAATGATCTGAATTGATCAATTTTTGTGATGTCCAAAGCCTCTCCATTTAGAGGATTCAGAAATTCAACCTGGAATTTGTAGTCTCTCTCATATTTCAACAGCTGAGGCAAAGAGGAAAAAAGTCATGCCATTTGATAAGTGATAGCTTACCAAACCATTCTTGCGAGCGACAGCCAAAAGCTGCAAAGCACAGCAAACAAGTTATAGCTGCTCTCCAGGGAGGGTAGAAGTATATTACATGTGTCAAACTGTTACGAGTTATAACAGACAATTATACTACAGTAACATGTAAGAATCTCCAAACACAGGAGAAAGAATGGCAACACATCTTTTGCAATTTACATGATAATCCAAGATTCAACAAATACAACGTGATATTCTAGTCAAAAGAATTCATATAACCATAAAAGGGCATTCCAATGAATTGATCTCATGCCAATATGGGATCGGGAGAGACTCAATGAATACAGTTGTGCCCTTGCAGACAAAGAGGCAGTGTAGAGTGTGCTCTACGACTTAAATCCTTGTCACAATTACTGATGGTTGCCATTAATCCATCTTTAACAAAATCTGATAAAAAATAATTAAAAACCCTTCTCTGGTCAAACTTGGACCTAAACAGGTACACATTCTAATTCTGCAAGCATCCTTACAACCATGTGTTCAACCCTAATGTAATTTTCATGCAGAACATTCTTATATTAAATAAAGTAAAATACACTAAAGAAGTACAAGCAAATAAAAATCCAACAAGCCACTAGATCAACGACCAAAAGTTGACCAGGCTTAAATAGAACAATTTTCATCCTAAGCAAGTCCTTAAAATCTCAGAAAACTGAGGGCCAAGATCAAACTAACACCAAAGTCGCAGCACTACGCTTATTGATGTTAGTTAGAAAAAGGTGAACAACGTTTCCTCCTTTTGGCCTCCCGCAGGAGGAATAATTAGCCTTCTTGCTGGCATACAACTTTAAAGGTGACTATTTAAAAACCAATAAAGGGGTCGTGATAAAAGAGTGACCTTGCAAGTAAACCGCATCGGCCTTCTCCAAAATTCTTTCTCCAGTAAAGAGCGAGTTTGCAAGGAGATAGAGTGAGCCTTCTCCATAATTCTTTCTAGGGTAAACAATCAGCATTCCGGTGTCCATGTTTAAGAGATATTCTTGCTAACTCCGTCTCCATATCTTTTTGGAGTGAGCAATTAGCATTCTTTTTCTGGAATACTATCAAAACCACATAATATAAGATGATAATTCCAGCATGCCTTTCATGCGGAATGGCTGCAGATTCAGCATCACGAGCCCGCCATAAACTCATGGGACGAGGGACGAGGGCCTCGCCATTAGCATGGCGGGCACTATCGATGAGAAAAGGGGCGACCGAGAGTCATAGGAGGAGGAGGAACCAACCATTCGCGGCCGCTCGCCGTCCGCCGTTTGGTTCGGGGTTTGATGTTTGATTACGGCCGGTCATGGCTTGAACTCGTTCGGCTCGTTTTGGTTTGGTTTGCCATGCTATAAGCTATATATTACCGCATCAGACGGCCCGCGTTGTCTCGGTAATCATCTCGATCGTCGCTGTAGTGAGGGGTAAAACCGGTAATAAAGTTCACAATGGGCTGCAGCGGACGAGTCACGCTAAGATATTACTATTATTTATCATCCCTTTTTTATTATTTATAATTTAATTTTAAAACTTTTTTTATATTTATATCGACATAAATATACTATTCTCGATGATGTTGACAGGTAAAGAGCAAGATGAAATAAGAGATTGTGAGAATAAAATAAAATAAAATCAATAATATTATGATTGTCGATGATAAAATAATATTTTTTTAAAGAATTAATAAAAATTATAAATAGCAAACTAAGGTCATGTTCAAAAATACAAAGGATTATCCTGAAATTTTAATATAAGATGTATCTCCCTTTAAATATTTAGATATACAAACACATTTGCCTCTCATCAACCATTTGCCTCAAATCACCAAATCAATCCAGCTGTTGAGTTCAATTTGCAAAGAAATTGTTACTCACATTTAATCCCCCTGACGAACAAATATGAAAATTTTCCTCCCCGAAAAACAAAAATTTATTGGATCAAGATACCGAAAAGCTGGCCAGCAAGCTTTTCCTGTATTTCGTTTTGTTGCTGTTCAAGACGCGATTAGATAAGAGGATAAAACTAAAATCTATCACAATCCTCTCCGAAGAACAAAGACTAGGTATGAAAGAGGTGTTCAATGTTCATTAACCATTACAGCCACTTCAACTCGTGATCTTTTTGACTGATTCAAAGCCATAAAGAAGCACACCAAGAACAAAATTTACAAAAGAATACCGTAGGCGCATTCCTCCTGAAGAGACAGGAGAACAGCATCAGAGTATACAACCGATCTAGCAAGAAAGATGTGGAAGCATGCCACAAACCTCTGATCCCTCTTGAGCTGATGCCAGGGGTATTCCCTTTACAGGTTTGTGTGGCATATTCCCGAGAATGAATCAAGATGGAAGCTCATGTGCTGCTACTCGTGAATTATAAACACCTCCTCGTCCGAAGAATATAGAAACCGGTGCTAATGCTATACTGAAGGAAGGAAATCCAACAAATAATGCATTTGCCCGTTGATTGTTGATCGTATCAACCAAAGGCAGTAGAAACTCCCTACATCACTGTGCAGTTGCACTTCGACTCCAGCTTTGGGGGCTTCACACTGTCAACCACTTGCGGAGCTTCAGCATTGCACGATGGAATCTCTGAGTTTCTGACATTGTTTCCCACCTCCGTAAGTGGCATCTTTTCAGCAGTTTCTGGTTTTTTTCGTCTAACCTTTTGTGAGTTCTGAATATATTTGTTGGATATATTTCGCAAATCCTTCCAATTGGAAACAGAACTTCCCACAAATGTAACTGCTTGATGAGAAGACTCATATAGAGCCAGCTCCTTCTCGATCGCAATTGTTGCAGCTTTGTAGGCCATATCATGGATGATAGAACTGCAGAAGAGTATTGTATCTGTTGCTTCTTCCAGGGTAAAACTTCTTTGCATCTGTTTCCTTGGAGCTTCGACCGTCATGACTTGTTCTGTGAGAAGCAAGTGTCAGTAACAAAAGAAAACAATGATATCAGATATTCGTCCTGTGTACTAGACAAAGCACATACTGTAAAAACACCATATAGAGAGAATTAATTTCCTAGGTTCAACAAATCCCAAGAAGCTGCATAGAAAAAAAGATGGAAAAGCAAAAACAACACATATCTACAACAGCTGGAATCTGACAAGAATTCATCAAGCACAGAGTAAACATTAAATTTGTTTTACATTCCAGGATAGTGAGAGTAAAAATATTGACTTATAAACACAAAAAGCAATCACAATTTGACTAGAAAAGCTCTTCACAAGATGTGAAATAACAAGTAAAGCTACGTACCATTAGAAAGATCCTTGGAAATAGATTCTAATTCAGAAAGCAACACATCTTTGTCAGATGTTGTGGAAATTGAACCTTCTTGAAAATTCTCGACAGAATTTGGCACTTGAGCAGGTGTACAATCATCTTGTTCATCCTGCAAAGTGACTTTATCATTTTGCTGTTCCGAGATCATGGCAGAAGGGCTATCTGTTGCAACACCAGAGAAACCATTTTGATGGCCAGTATCATTCAGCATATAATTGTCTTCGATAGAACATGAATCTGTTGTAGCAACCGGTGCCTCTATGTCTTCAATGTTGCTTTCGCTGTTGTTAAAAAGTACTTGGGTAGTGTCTTCACACAAGTCACAGCTCTCACCTAAATTATTTGATACAGTAGTATCATGCAATTGAAGACCAGGTTCTTCTTTTGATTGCAGTAACAGGTCATTTGATGCCAAAGATGCACCAGTATAGTTGGATACATCTATGTCTACAACAGTTTGCTCGATAGATGTGTGATCTAATGCATTTGAATATACATCTGTAACAGCTTGCTCCATAGATATATGCTCTAATGCATTCAAATCTGCATCTCCAAAGGAATTACTAGGCTCTCGAGCATCTACTAATATCTCTACCACAGCATCATTCTCAATGACTTTGACAAAACTACAAGACACTTCTTTTGATTCATTTTGAGGGTGAACCAGTGTTTCTGTGACCGTACTATTAGTATCTGAATGTGAACCACAACCCCAGGCGCTAGTATGACTTTCACCTCTCACGTTTTCCATCTCACCCTTCCTGCTGCTTAATTGGCGCCCAATGCGGCCATCCAATTGTCCAGACGATCCCAGATCAATTGAGGAAGAAGCAGAAGAACTATCCCTTCCAAAACTGCGCTTCATGGCAGTCATATTATCTCTTTTATAAGATGGCTCGGAAAAAGGTATATTTGCAGCAGAAAAAATTTTTCCTTGCATGACAGGCCACTTTCTGCTGCTTGACCTATGCGCTAGAAGTACCGCAATGCCTGTGCCCTCAGAGTTGTCAACCTTGTCGCTTATACTGGGAGTTGGCTGTGCCTGCAGAGATTCACAGTTATCGCTAGATTCTGGAGCATTTAATTGACCTGGTACAAATACTTCCTGTTTAGGAAGGTTTTGTTGATATTCATGTTTATCACTAGATCTTGAAGCACTTAATTCACCTGGTACGAATACTTCTCCTTTAGATGGGATTTCTTCTCTTTTATCGCTCACCAGCAAATATAATCCACTATCTGCAGGGAAATTAGTTACTGCTTGTTCACTGCTTCGTTCATGTTGCCTAGGCCTGAGTTCGTTTTTACTCTCAGAGTGTGCAGACATTCCCATTTGGCTTTGCACCTTATGGCCCATTTTGTAATTTCCTTCGTCTCGCATTGGGACTTGAATAGTCCCAGGTTCCTCCGACTCTATTAACTCATATGCATCAGAACATTCTTGACAAACATCCACATCCATATCCTTATAAATGACCATGAATTTTCTTCCACATTTTGAGCAAATACTCATTTTTTCTGCAGAAACAATCTCAGAACATTCAGCAGCACATGAAGAACCTGGACAAGCAATTGTTGTATTTACTGCATTACCATCACCTGTAGAACACTTCAAAATAGAGCCATCTTTGTTGGTCACACACCCATCAAAGAACTCATTACTACTTTGAAGATTTGCAGCACAAGTGTCATTACCAGTATCTTCGCCTATCTCATCTAACTTATCAAACATAAAGACTTCATCCTGGAAACCAGCATCCTTTTTCTTCTCCCATTCACTCTGATCATGGTCGCCATCCTCCAAATAAGGAGCAACACTAGCGCCAAGCTCAGAACTCGCATAACTACTATTTGTATGAGAAGAATTCCTAGAAAACATGGGCCGATGCGTACTGTTTGCTTTTCCAACATAAAATGTGGTGGCAGGTACACTCGATAACAATGGCCTGAACATGTTTTGAGGAGTTTTATGGTGATCCTACGCATAAATAGAATATAGAAATTCAGTAAGTGCAAAGACAAGCACATTTCTCACTTACTCCATTCATATACAACAGAGGCAGCATGAATAGAACACAAGAAGTTGCATAATAACCAAAGCTTTGAATCAAACAGCAAAGATGTGCATAATAAATAGACTAAGAAATGGAGAAAACTCCTACAGTGGACAGAGAAACTTGAAAAATGTACAGATCAATACCAAGTGCACACACACAAGTAGTTGTACTCCTCAGCAAAGTAAACAAACCATCAGAAGACACACAAAAATATCTAACAAGTTTTAAAGAAATTCATAAGCAATTTAAAACACGTGAGAATTTCCCATTTCTTAACAGTGATAAAATGCATAAGACTTTTTACCTTCATGTTTATATATTATATATTACAATGACAAGAACATTATATCCATGCAAGGTGACCACATACACAATAGCTGGACAAGCCTTAAATTCAAGGGGTGTTCTACGAGACCAAAAAAAGCATTAGAATGATCAGAAATAGGATGTATTTTAAAAGTTGACATAGATAAATGAGAATGTTGAGATGAATTCTGGCAGGTTGATTGCAGCACGAAATGAAATTTAAAATAATGCTGTAGTTCAAGGGCCAACAGAAGTCCCCGAAAAAAGAAATTGAGTATAGGGAGATCATACATGCTGCTAATGCAACATGGAAAAGTAATGCTTGCACCAAACATAACGAAGATATGACCAGAACAGCAGATAAAAGCAATAAATGACACCTTACCATCTGTCTAAGTGCTGAATCAAAAGATCTTTTTGGTGCAGAACATGAAGAAGGAGATCTGGAATTTTTTTTGGAGAATCCCATAGCTCTAGTGTTTGCAAAATCTCTATATTTTCTTGTAGCAGCATTAGGAGAAACTCCCATGGATGCATGTGATTCAACATCATCTTCGCAGGAAGATGCTGCAGATGGCTTACAAATAGAGGTAAAGTGATCTCCTTCACTATTATGTGACGATCTGGCACTTCTAGAAGAAGATGGTGATATTGACTGCCTTCCGAATTTTGACACACAATTCCTTCCATTTCCAGATGCTGGAGGCGAACCCCGCACATGTGATGCTGGCCGATCCGTCAGAGAAGTTCGAAGGTTTGGTGGTGCATCTGTGGAGAAATCATGAAGACTTGATTGCCATCCTCGCAACTTTGGGGAGGCAGAACTTCCTTGGTTCACCTTTATGGGGGATGTTCCCCTTTTACCAGCAAATGCCTGCCCACTGGAACCAGTGCTCATCCTACGTAACGTGGGAGTCAAAGATCTTTGAGCAGGTGATGAAGGCTTGGCTGGAGGAGTGGAAGGTCTTCGTGAGGGTGTTGTTGGTCGAAGAACATGAGGTGGGCTTGAGCGAGGAGCTGAAGACGGCCTAGTTCTTGAATGAACAACATTATAACTAGATCCTGGAGATGGACTTGATCGACGTGGACTCGCACTGCTTCTGTTTGTTCTTGGAGTCTTTTCACACTATAACCACAGAAGAATGTCAAATACAGTGGCAGCAAAAGAGAAGAAAAGATGAAATGATTAAAAAAAAAAGTATCCCATACAAGATTTATATCACGAAACAGGATCTTACCATAGATGTTCTTGAAATTGAAATGGGTTGACTTCTTGCTCTACCTCTGGACACATTAACAGGTCGAGGCTCATCATCATCCAATGAAGGGAATAGGGGAGTATCAGGAGGAGTCAGCAGCCTGATTGGTGACAAACAATTAACCTGTCATGACTTCGCATGGCTAAACTACCAACAACAGGTGGTACGACTTTGTTATCTAACTGCAGCATGAATATACCAAAATTGACTCAAAAAGGAAGATCAGACGAATGGGGGCTATAATAATTGTCTACATAACAACCAGCACTTAGCTTTAGTTACATGCTTAAAGTTCAGCAAAAACATAGCAATAGCCCATTCGACATTGTGTGAGAATAACTGCCTCATACTGACACAATGAAAAGGCTAAGAATTTGTGATGATATGCAAAGTCTCTTACATGGGGGCACTTACCAGTCATAGTCATTTTTCTCACCATCTGCATTAAGTAGATCACTGCTCTCTCCATGAGCTGGTATGTTGAGCTTGAAATCCGAAATATATCTCAACTTTGCTGATGATGTGGAGAAGAAACAGTTGATGGTCCAGCAATAGGAGAATGAATAAAAATCCAAGCACAAGAAAAGCTAAAGAACAAAAATCAAGGGAGGGATAAGGACATTACATATGGAATCATCAAAATCATCGGATGGGTGCAGCAAGAAGTTATCTCTCTCACGGTTCTGCATCTCATTGAACAGGACCAGATCATCGTCCTTGGCTTTGAGAGGAAATCTATTCTCAAAACTGTGCCCCCTCTTGTGGGAACTTTCCATCCTGAGCTCCCTCACAGGAGAGCGCCTCAACGAGGGTGAAGGAGGCATCTTTCAGCTACCCAGTCCCCGTCTTACAAACAGGCTTGCTTTCGGCTCCTCACACGCTAATGCTAGTTGCCATATGCCAAAAAAGAAAACACAAAATTGTGGCGTTAATGACATAGACTGGTAGACCAAGCTTGAGAATTACAACGTTCGAAACGAGCAATACAAGAGACAATTTTTGTTGTTGCGCTAAAGAACCAAATTGAAGCCATCGGCGGATTCAGCTGTGATGTTAACTACTTTCTACCATTAAATGCGTAATGCCACATAGCAATAAAAGGCAAGATTATGCAAGCTGGTGCACATCAACATTTTCACACTTCAGATCGAAGCCCGCAGAAATTATACGTCGAATAGAAATGATTGGTTCGAGCTCAGCACAAAGCCACGACAAAACAAACAATTCAGGCGAACTTCTATCGAAAGCACAGAGAAGCTCACTCGAGCTACGGAATCACCTCACCGAGAACCCCACAGGTCATCGTTTCTCACCTCCAAAGACACCGACTGCTTCCGATCTCCTCCCGGCTCAGCCCTCCTCCACCTAGGGTTTCTCCATCAACGGCGACGCCACCCGCAAAAGCCAGCTACTTTTCCGATTACCGCCTCCGTTCGGTACGAATTCGAGGCATGAACGGGCCGCATTCAGCGACCGGCGCCGGGATCGAGCGGCGGTGCTGATCGCGGAGGCAAGCGAGCAGCTTTCCCACGATTTAAGGGTCGGGGGAGGAGGGAAATTGGGAAGATGTAGAAGGGATTCCAAGGGGTGGAACGCCGGGGGGGGGGGAGAAGACGAGAGCTCACCGATCTCGTAGGGTTTCGATCTTTCTTTTTAGCTTTTTGGTTCTTTCCCCCACCAAGTAGCTGTGTTTCCTCTGAAGCACGCTTTCGCTCTCTGTTCACCGCCGCTTACTACTTCCACCACCTCTCTCTATTTTTCTTTATTTTTTAATTAATAATATTTAAATTACTAAAATACCCCTATCAGGCTTGAGAAAAATATAATTATAATATGTGAAAAAAAATAACTTCATATTTTAGTCTCTTTTTCACATATTTTGAAGACTTAAATTTAAAAAAAAATATTGGTATGGAAAAATTAGTTTTTTATGATTCAAACTCGGACCAAATATTTAATATCATAATTTTTCACGTAATTATAATTATAAGAAGATGAGGTCAAAAAATATAAAGTGAATTAATAGGAAATTAATATCATGTGAAGGAAATTAGTTCTGACTAATCAATGTTTTCTACTTTTCCTTTGTTGTTAAACTTACTTTTCTTTAAATTTAAGTTGGATTTAGTTTGTTTGAAGATTAGACTTCAATCTAAAGAGTGAATATTCTATTCATTTAATGGATGATCTCACAAACGTAACTCAATCTTCCAAAAAAGGAAAATTAGCATTGGCCTCTCAACATAAAAATATTGTGGATTGAGGTTAATATGTTACAGTTTAATCATTCAAACCCATTTCATATGATCTAAGCACAGTGGGAGTAGAAGATCTAATGCATAGAACTACTCTTAAAGTACTTATTATACATATTAAAAGTAATAAAAAATAGTCTAATATGAACCCAAAAAACACACAAAAAAAAAAAGAAAAATCAAGCTTGTTGTAGAACAAAGAGTGGCTTAAGACTTGATTAGAACACACTCAACTGAAGACCCCATCACCAGAAAAATTATATATATATATATATATATATATATATATATTAATGTGGAAGGTCTCCATTGAAGCTTTGAAGACCCCACAAAAGTGAGAAGACACTGCTAACTAATTCCTTAGTCAACACCATAAGCATCCTCCACTGATTTCTTACTATATTCTTCTCTTATCAAGCCACCATGATAAGATAATCTTGTGCTATCATCATTCCTTGAAAGAGAATAAGTGTACAAGACAGATGGATCTGCAACTCATTTAACTATTGGAGAGAACCTTGTATTAAAAGTACTAATCTTGACTTCTTTGACATGCATGCATATGACAACCAGTCTTTTGTCATATATGGCCCTAGGATTAGGTCACTTTCATCTGTTTTCATTCTGGTAATTATGCCACCACAAAATGCAAATTATCATGGTTGATTGGTAACATCACAAGCTTGCATATTTAGTGGAGTAATTTGTAGAGGTAACAAAGAGCAAGGCTAGTTGGAGTCTAGCAGACCTTCCAACCATGTTATGTTGCATGATTTGAGCAGACATGGCAACTAATGATTCTGATATTTGAGTAAGCAAAATTAGACAGCTCCAATCATGACCATGTTGAACAACACAAGTTTGAGTCTAGGAGGATGGGAACAAAAAAATTAATTGATTAATTAAACCATCAACACCTCATTCCTTAGTTAACTTGAAACATCTGCCTATTTAAGTTGAATATGACATCATTAACACAATCATGGAGGTAGAAAATTTATATGCATATTAGAGTCAATGAGGTGATGATTCCTACTCCTGTAATATATTCTTATTCCCACCCCACTTGTATAAAAATGTTTAGGTTTCTCTATAACCCTATAAAAAATAAAATTCTATTTTTATCCAAAACGATAAAATAGATCGAATAAATCTATCATGCCAACACAAATTAAAAATAAAAAAATATTCTTCATATCATTTTCAATTCAAAAAATATTTCTCCTACTACAAGTGTCGATTTTTGATAATCACCTCTTTAAGATTTATATCGTAAGATAGTGGACCAAAATTTAAAATCCAACACGATCGAATTGACTTTGTAATTTAAATTAACAATTTATTCTTTTTGGACTAACACTAACTATCGAATGTCTAAACACTTAAGTATCCTATATTCCAAAGGTCATGAAATCACATTCTTAGAGTCTTAAATAATATGATGATAAAAGTCCATTTAAATAACCAATAAAGGAGCACAAACCAAAGCCCAAGCATGGAGACTTTGGAGGATAGCAAAAGACTCAAGAGAGAATAGTGAATTCTAACTTTTAGAATTTGACTTATTGGCATACGAACAAAAGAGGAATATTTGAGGCATGAGGACTGGCATTTAATGTGGAAACAGATCTAGCATCTTTCTTTCCTTCAGCAACACTTGCAAAGAGACAGAATAATCCAGAGAGGAAATGGGAAAACATGGGATACTCCATTTAAGAGTCACATCAGCTGAAGAAAAGGTTGATGGAGATGGGAAAGGCTTACGTTGGAGGTGAAAGCAAAACTGTTTCTTCGTCCGCCACGAACAAAGAAGGCTATTCCTTTGTGAAACGGAGGAGCACTGTGTCTTATCTGTGTAAGACATTCCTTTGTCTTCGGCGTGTGGTCACAGCGGCGGAAGGATAGGTAATATCTACCTCATGCATCACGAGCTGCCGTTGTTGTGTACGGTTTTCGCTGGCGTATAAGGATGGTATCGGATTGGACAATTCTTCACGTACTCCGACCGTACGGCGACAAGAATCGGTACATTCCTGGAATGGAGGGCGGAGTCCTTCGACCGATGATGATGATGATCACCGGAAAAGACACCGTCCACGGCGTGGAGATGGAGGGCGGAGTCCTTCGACTCAAGTTACATTCCTGGAATGCTTTGAGATCCGTTTTGCGATCACGTGATCTTAAATCGCTTTAAGAATCGTGCGAATCCACTTCGCACGCGGTGATTCGTGCATATACACGTGGCGTCCTACAGCGCTCCAGATATTTGATGTAGCTGGTGAAAGAGTCGAAAACGGTCACGCCATGCTTACGAGTCCGTCGTGTGGAGTTGGTCGAGCCTTGTATTGCTGATCCGAGCCCAACGAAAGTTGATCCTGAAATGCTTCAAGATTCGTGCGAATGCATTTAGAACTCGGTTGCGGTAGACACCGATGCTTTAATAGTCGTGTAACGACGCTTGGCGCCCGACCGTGCTCCGGATGCTTGATATAGTTAGCAAGGGTCGAGAAACAGTGACGCTATTTTTGGAAGTCGGTCGTGTGAAACGGTCGAGGCATGTGTTGCTTTAAGATTCGTGCAAGTGCACTTATAGGTCGGCTGTGGTGAACGAGAATACTTTAAAATTCGCACAAATACACTTGGTGCGATACTGGCACAACCAAAGTTGTAATTAAAAATGCGCTTAGCACTACGTTGCCGTAGACAAGGATGCTTTAATATTCGTGCAACTACACTTGGCACTCTGTTGTGCTCCGGATATTTGATATAGCTAGTGAGACTGTGATGGAGTCGAGAAACGGTCACGCTATATTTAGAAGTCGGTCGTGTGAAATTGGTCGAGCCACGTGCTACGGTTCCGAGCCCAACCACGAGGGTAATCTGGTTATCACTCGACCTTGCCTCTCCTTTGCCCCCCTGCCCCGCTTATACAAGTCTTCCTTTCATCCCCGAAGAGCGGAGTGAGGCAGCAGCGACGTCGAGTCCCCTCCAAGGTTCCGCGAACCCGGAGAGCGACGAGCCCGAGAGGGACGAGGAGAAGCAAGAGGAGCTCCATCGTGGAGCGATAGTAATGCGCTCGATCCTGTAGCCTCTTCTCTTGATTTTCTTCACTTTCTTGAAGCGGTTTCTTGAATGTTCCTCTCCTCTGGGTTTGCTTCTGGATACGAAAGAAGGAGTCCGAGAGGAAAGAGGAGAAGGAGCGGAAGGAGGTGCAATCTGGAGGCAAGGTAATGTTCTTGATCTCATACTTCGCCTCTTCTCTCAGCCTTCTTTGTGTTCTTGAACGATTCTTCCTTATGGGCTTACTTGTTTCAATTACTTGTTGCCCTGAAACCAAAGATCGAGGTTCCCGGGAGAGATGAGGAGAACGGGCAGAAGGAACTCGAAGACGTAGCTAAGGTAATGCTCTTGATCTTATACATCGTCTTTTCTCTTCACTTGCTTCGAGTTCTGGAAGCGACTTCTGAATTCAATCATTGCGTTCAATCTCGTACTTCTTCTCTTCTCTTGAGTTGCATCTGGTTCTTGAGACGGTTTCTCGAATGCTTTTCTCTGATGAGTTTGCATCTATTGTTGCCGCGAAACAATAGATCGTGGAACCCAAGAGGAACGAGCAGAACGTGCCGCGGGATCTGGAGTACGGAGATAAGGTGATGCGCTCGTTTCTTGGCTCGATGCTGGAGTTATTGTAAGTGGATCTTGAATGGTGATTCTTTTGGTCCTGCTTTGTCAAGATCTTGGTGCTGTGACGAGGCATTGGAGTTGCATTGCAGCTATCATAGTTCGCTTCCTGATTCCTCTGGTTGTCTGTGATCTGTCATTGTCCCTTGCATTACGTTTTCTTGATTCTTTCTATCTTGTGTTTCAGCTTAACTTGGTTTATTGATGTTATGATGGATTCTGGATGGTTGTTTCTCGCTTAAATAACATCTTATTTCTTTGGCCTTGGTTCCCCTCTATTGACTGCCATGTAGACGATGTATCACTGCGCTTCTCTTGCAGTAGAACTTGTGCCATTACAAGCTGTATTTATACCATTTCGACTATCTTTGGTTTCTGTGGGTCCTAATATTCCTTTAACGTTTTGAGTCTTTCTTGCTGAGTCTCTTAGAATTCTTCACCAGCACCAAGATAACAGATATTTCTTGCTAGTCATAAATTTACGGAATATTTTTCGTGAAGGTCATTCTAGCATGAGGATATCGGAACCCACAAGATTTGCAGCGAGTTGTTAGCTAGAATGATCTTTTATTCCCGCCTTTATACGTTATTTGTGCTGGTATCTTTGGCTTGTTGGAGGTTGCCTCTCACTTGATTGACATACTTATTTCTTTGGCCTTGGTTCTTTCCCCTCTCTCGTCTGCTATCCGGTTAGTTCAACGTCATGCTTTCCTTGTAGGAAAATTTGTGCCATTATTTCTCTTACAATAGAATTGAACAATAAAATTGTACCATTTTTTCTGTCTTTGTTTTCCTGGATCTTTATTTCATGACAGTTTTTGCCTGCATCTCCGAGCTATAAGTCAATTTGGTTTATAATTTCGTCGAACATTTTATTCAAGTTTTTCTTTCTTGTATATAAATCTTCAACATGACAGTTAAATGCTATAGCTAGAATTGATCCTTGGAAGTTATGGTTGTTCTGATCCTGATTCCTGCATCTTATGTTACCTCCTGTGATATCTTTGATTCATTGTAATAAACTAATACCTTGACTTCTGATGGTTTCAGTTATCTGGCACTGAGAACATCTCTTTTAGATTCTTCACTCTGTATTCTCGCACCCTGTTTCTTCAATTTCGTCTGTTGAGAGAAGGATTCAACTTAATTTCAATTCATGTAGATTTGCTTGTACAAATGTTTTATTTTGGTGCCCTTGTTCCACATGTTGGATGCTTCCACTAATCTTCTTTACATTCCCTCAAGCCCATCTGAAAAAATTGTAACCTTTTTGAGTTATTTCTTGCATGTGATTCTTGAGACCTTTGAGAATGGGGTTTGTAGTATGAAAATTCATAGTTGGTCCAGCTGATTGATGTATTCTGGCTCATCTTATATATATTTGAATTGTTGAGGGTAATGTGTAGTCAAATTTAGTTACAAACTCGGAATCGTTGTTGTCACCCATTGTCATTATCACAGGAGAACCTTTCAGCATTGGAAACAGACTATAAGCGTCAATTAATTCAATGGATGCTGTTTTACTATATCTTGTTTTCTAGTGAGACATTTGCAGATTCTTGACACTGATTATGCTACCTTCAGACGTGTTCAAAAAGATGAGATAAAATTCTATAGGAGATTTCTGTTTGCCTATCTGATCACATAATGATTTTTTTTCATATGCTTTTTCTACAATGTTAATGATTAAGTAGTCCTAAATTATATTTGTTTTTCAGCTAACATCAAGGAAAGTGTCATGCTTAATTGTGTTGTTCAAAGCAGCAGCATATCTGGGAAAAGCTAGACAAAGTTGAAAGAGACCATATCTTTGCAAGTCTCGAGCAATGTAAGACTAGAAACTCTCAGTTTGGTGAGGATCGGACCAACTTTAATGAAATTTACTTGGTAAGCATGATATCAGTGAGTAATATCTTAATTTCCCTTCTGAAATGCAAATAGTATATTGTTAGATAATTTTCTTTATGATTTTATATTAAGTTATCAGCATATTCTCCCTGCATACTAGTGCCTTCAGTGGCACTTTAAGAAATTAACCATTTCAAAAGAAAACATTTTAACACAGAAGAGATCGACGGCCTCTGATCGTTTAGCTAACCAATCCAGAATAGTTTTTCTTTTGCTATTTGTTGAGCTGTTCAATATAGCCTTCAAGTGATCAGACACAATTGACTTCAAGTGAGGAACATTAAAGCATAAGCATTACTGAATTCCATGTGCTGCTTCTCTTCGTTCCGTGTTCTCTAATATAGCCTGCTGTTGCTGGGCAGTTCTGCCCCTCTTTAAGGTGCATCGTGTTAGACAACTTGAGGCACAAGGAATTCGTCGTCAGACTATTTGGCCCACGAGTGACGGGAATAATCGCTTCCACAAATATATCAAGGCTTTGTCGGATCCACTAGGCGTGCAAATTCACGTGGTGTACGTTGATGGGAGACTGGACGAACATGGGATCGCTCCGATGCTGTCTTCTGATGACTTCGATCCCAAGGATCCTGACGTCCCTGATTCAGTGCCAAGCACCTCAGTCGCTGATCTCCTTGCTGTGTAGGACCGGCAATTATTTCGATGACGAGCACCATGACATTATCTACACCTGTTCAGATCGCATGCATAGCTGGGTAGTGCCACTAGTGATTCTGCCACCACCACCCATTAAGGTGATCGGTCCCATATCATTTCAACATTGTTTTGCACCTGCTTTCTGCTTGTAATCAATCAAAGTCTGTCACCTGAAACCACACATAGAATGTGTGATTTACTTTGTACTGAACATCTCAACTTGTGTCTTCTTGTGTCTATTAATCGTAGGTAGGTGTAAGACACTCATATATTTTGATTTTTTTTTGTGTCTTCTTGCAATGAACATCTCAACTCTGTACTCCTCTTTCAGTGATCGCCACTAGCTAGTCCATCCCATGCCATGCGATGATGAAGATGATAGCAACCCGGAAAGTCAGGTTAGATTATCACGTGTATGTAAAATGTATACACACATTGATGTTACATATATATATACATATATATATATATATATATACATATATATGTATATATATATATATATA